TTAGTGCACGCAAGTTTTTCTACGACTTTATCTTTAATCATTTTAGCAATTGTCGGATCTAGAGACTTAATGAGATCATCATTAATATTAATTCCTTCATTTTTATCTTCTAATAAGTCATTGATAGCCTTACTTACCTTGTCCTTGTTAATTTCATTCCTCATAGGTCTAATAATCACATGCCCTGGTGAGCCTTTACTGTAAACACCTCTACTTTTATCAACACAACCACCTGCTCCAGGCATATTGCTTTTAAAATCATAACTACATTGATTGACTGCTTCGTATTGTACTTCACCAGTATTTTGTACTGCATCATACACTATATATGCTACTTGTTTATTTTTTCTCATTTCTGGACTTGCAACTTTTATATTTTGAGTTTCGCCTTGTTGTAAGTCCCTATGGATTTTCGTTTTCACCTTTTTCGCTGTTGAGTCATGCTCTTTGTATTTATCACCACCTGCGGCAGTTACTAATTTTATACACTTTCCTCCTCTGTCATTGCTGCACATTTTTATTATGGTTGGTCCTCCATCCTTATTTGTTATAAACTGTGTGGCATTACCACCACCTTCCGCAACAATTGCTTTAAAGTAGGGATAATTGGGATCAACTTTCAATTTGGCTTTAATGTAGTCACCTGGCATTCCAATGCTATTTTCTCTTGAGTGAGCTTTACCAGATATGTGTCCTGCTTCACCACCACCCCATGCTTCTATTTCAACATATTCATATTTTGACAAATCATCAGTGTATTCACCACTACGCGCAAGATCGAAGTGTTTCTTATATTTATCTTCCTGCTCTGTCTTTTTTCCTTGTAAGTGTGCCATCACTATTCTATTCAAATCATGAATTAAACCTTTCAAGTCAAATGTACATAACTTATCAGCATAGAAAACCTCAGTTTTATTTGCCCTGATTGGCTTTTCTTCTGGCTTAATATCGCCATTGCTTTCCTGTGAAACTTTCAAATAGAATGGCTCACCGGTGTCTTTTTTAACGTATCTAGTTGAGCGAGTATATGCATTATTTATTATAACACATCCATCATCTCCTGGCTTACATTGTCCTTTATATTCTGAATCTGTTAACTTATATACTACTTTACAGTTATGATTGTTTCTCTTTCCATCTATCTCACTATCTGTTTGCACAATGCATAATTCTTTTCCCTCATTATTCCTATCTCCGGGAAGGGCAATGTATTCTTTCTTATCAAATACTATTTTATCCAATTTATCCTGAGGTTGAGCTAAAAGATCAAATGTTTCATTGCGCGCGAGATAATAAAGGCTCTTTGATTCTTCTGAATAAACAGGAACATATTTAGTGTAGCCTATATCCATTAATTTCAATCGTATTAGCTCTTCCTGCCTTGCAAGTACAAACTCTTCAGGCTCTGGTTGATAACCAGAAATACAAAGCATGTTATTTCCTTTATCAGTCTCCCCATTTTCTTGATAACTTACTTCAATTTGTGGATATCCTAAATTATCCAACTTACATTTTTTGCTGTCACTAGGGTCAGGGTATTTACATCTTACCTTAATTCCAGGGACGCAACCATAATCTTGCAGTGTTTTAAATCTTGCCTCATTACTTAATATCTTATTTAATGCTTCATCAATTTTATCTTGGCCTTTTTTGTTCATTGCCGGTTTTGTTACCCTCAAGAGAAAAGGACCTATACTTGTCTCGCGACCATAATGAATATTAAAAGTACAGATACCATTGCTATAGGTACCATAAATTCCACATATCTTGCTACTCATTCTCATTTTAATTTTTAATGTATTGTTATCCTCTACATTTACTATTTCAGCTTGTGGCACAGATGGAACGGGAAAACAACGCGTAAATTGTAAGCTATTATTATCTATTGCTTGAGTTCCGTGATACTCGGCACAGAGTTTACTTTTTTCTCTGTAGGTCTTAAAGTAATAATTAGTATTCTTGTCTTCAATGCGATGTGATAAATAATTCTTGTCACCATCTGAAATCTTTTTTGAAAAACCTAAACTCCTTGCTTCCTCTAATCCAGTAATTATCACCCTAACTTTTGGATCAAAATAATCATTATCATTTGCGCTAACTGGCACAATTTTAACCTGCGGAGTTGAGGAGTTAAGTTGATCACAAAATGGTGGAGGTCCAGGTGCAAGAGGAATAGGTGCACATTGTATCTTTTGCTTTCCATTTTTCCAGGACGAACAACTATCACAAACTTTAGCCATTTCTCCGGGATTAAAAATATTGGCTCCTGCAAACGCTTTAGCACCCCATGCATTTACTCCAGACATACATGCTCCTTTTTGACTGCAAGCACATATTTTGGGAGATTTAGCAAACTTTTCTTTTTCTTCTGCGGTTACACCCTCTGCCCACTCCCACTTAAGGCCTCCGGCAAGTTCACCACCAATGGTGACTTTATCCCCATCCCAATCAATAAAAACTGCTGCTGAAACTCCCGAGCCTGATGATTGTGTTCCGTATATTTGTCGACATGATGTGCCACTATGGAGTTCATAACAATTACTTCCTTCATAATCACATACTTTAATTTTGGGATTAAAATACCCTTCAACCCATTTATCTCTAATAACGTATGCTTTGATGTATTGTAATTTTTTGGGATCAAACGCCACATCAAACTCAACTTTACCTTGAAAGAGACTACCAACACCCGAAAAAAAGCCTGAAACACCCTTTCCTGCGTGATTAGCTGTAATTTCAAGTTGAGTGTTGCTTTCAA